TGCTGTGCAAGATTTAATGTTGTCCTCAACAGAAACTGCATATTCTTTTACAAGTTTTGTGTTTCTGAATCATGGGAGGAAATTGAAAGCATTTTGAGATGGGCAAACAACAGCAGAGCCAGTTTGATGTAGAGGTTAAAACTTCAGGCTAGGAACTCAGAGACTGTGAATTCCAGTTCCACCTTAGGCGTAAAACCAGTAACCTAGGGCTAATCATTTTCTCTCAGCCCTAGGAAGCAGTCATTGGCAAATCATTTCTTAAAAACCTTGCCAAGAAAACTGCAGGGACTAGTCCAGGCAATCTTCAGGAGTTAAAAACTGACTCAAAGGCCAAAAACAGAACACCTTACAGATTATCCTGAATTTTTCTTTTGTTTTAAGATGCAGCATAATTAGTGGCAAACTATAAATTCCTCATTTATAAAACACTTCTGGGGACATTTTGAATGTGGGGAATGCATTTTACCCAGAGGTTCTCCTTGTGTTCTGGGGTCAAATGATGCAGTGATGCTATTTATCATTCTTCTTTCAAACAGTAAAATTGTCAATTATCCACAAATTTAAAAAGTAGCTCGAAGACATTAATGGTTACTGCAACAACAGATAAACAACATACAGCAGCTTAAATCCAGGCATATTTTGTACATAACTAAAACCATTTGTAGTTTTATTGATATTTTGTGGAGTTCACATACTTTTTTGTACAGCAAACATAACACTGTAGGCTGCAAGAAGCTGCAGCACTATTGTTTAATAGCAGCAAGTTATATTTTTATCAGGGTATGTGTACAATAAATAGTCTGTTTCTTTGGATATGAATGTTTAAAATGAATTTCTGCTGCAGCTTCATAATGTGATAGCTATTTTACAGAGCTTATACACAAAAATATATATGCAATCTGTCTATATTTTATACAAATACAACAGTAGTTTGTGAATACATTGTAAAGTACATATACATGATAAGCAACACAAATTTCCATATCACAGGATAGTAATTTTAAATGAAATACACAAATTCAGTCTGGAATGCATTTTTCTATTTTAACTCAAAAATTTGAATCACTGAAACTTTTTAGCACACAAGTTTAAACATTTCTCACTATCTAAAAATATAGTTTCAGCAATCTAGGTTTGTTTCAGATGTCATCCTTTTTTATGTTAATTCCAAGTCTGTCAATATTTAAGGGCTTTTATAAACAAGTATGTTCTTCACTTCACACCATATTAAAAGTCCCATTCATTTTAGGTTTGATGATAGGTTTATTTGGGCATATATGTCCAACTTTCTACTTTTTGCAAGTGTATATGAAAAAATTGTGGTATACAAAATTCATTAATGACAAATTAAGTCACAGTATAAAAATATACATCTATAAATCTAATATAGGCCTTTCTCTATAGATAAAAATACATCAGTCTAAATGAGACAGGGAGATCTGTAGCACCATGAGAGGAGTTGTATCCCAAGTTATATTAGCAGCATGATCCACTATAATATATTTGCAGGAGTGTTTCTGAGAAGATAAACATTCATTCTGGTTCAGTTGTACCACTGATGCGGATACTGAAAAGTCTTTGCATGCAGTTAACAATAGTTCTATGTTAATTAGGGTTAAATACTTATTGAAAGTCAAGGACTTTCAATATGTGGACACCTTTATAAAAGTGAAGGGTATGTTAATCAACATGACTTACTTTAAAATAAATGATCTCTAATTTCAAATGGGTGGTTAACGTACTGTATACTGATATGTTGATAGGCAGCTGTCATTCATTTACATTTAATGTAAATGTAGAGATCTTTGTACTCAGAGGCACATCATTTTAACCTGACCAACCAGTGTATGAGACAAATAATTAAGAGCTTCATCCTTTTCTTTATATTAATAGGCATAAGATCAACCTATGTTGATTTCAACCTATGAATTTTAACAACAGCATCATGTGGTAGGATATCACACTTTGAAATTCTGTTTATTAACATTCTGAAGATTTCTCTCCTATGAATAATGCATAGAATAAATTTCACTAAACTTTAAAGGTATTCCAAATAAAATGTACAGGACTGAGCTGTTAGCTTAAAATCCTGTGCTTAATGTCATTCCCATTGAATTATATGGGATTCAGCTAACAATTGTGGGCACATGACTGCAACCTCCAAGTTCTATGTATACACTTAAATATGGTTAACCACTCAATGACTGAACTGATATTAAATGGCAGTAAAAGATATTATTGAAATTGTAAACCTAGGAATCTACTGTAAAACTCTTTAAAAAGACACTCTAGTTCTGTGCAATAGAGCAAATTGATAAAAAAGAATACTTTATGATGTACCTGTTAATAGTTACACTGTTTACCATCTTGTACCCAAAGCATTATACCAAAAGCCTGCATATGTCATCTAATGGCACTTGAAAAAGTAATATTTTTTTAAAAAAACAGAAAGCATAACCTGCAAGAATTTTTTTATAAGATTTATATTTTTGTTTTGAAAGTGCTATATCTTGTATTATGTGTAACACAGAAATTAATCGAGCTTTAGTTTAAAACACCACACGCGCACACACAGCGTAAAATACATATAGCGCTCACTAGGTAAAAGATCCTGAAAATATGTACTCTTAACATTCATTATTAGCTTAATAAAGCAATCAGGTCTGGCTCATGTTTTAGTCAATACATGGTTTTTGGAAACCTCTACTGTCAA